TAACAACAACAACAACAACAATAATAATATACCTAATTGACATAACCTAGCACCAAAAAGCTAACAATGGTTGTGCCAAGCAAACATGTTTAGAGAGAGAATTGCTCCAAGACAACCTTTTTATGGAGGTCATAGGTCTCTTTTCATCAAAATGCTTCCCCCTTTTGGTGGGGGGGCGGCAGCGGTAAAAACAACTAGTTCTCCTTTTGTTTCTTCTCAGCAGTTGCCACAAAGCTGGAGCTCCTCCTTACACCCAGTCCAGCTGGACTGCCATACTAAGGGTCCACTTCCATATGTGAACTATGAAGACTTGCTCGCTTCTCATGTCCTGCAACTGAATTCCCAAAACTGTCAAGAATTAATATGTTATGAGCCAAACCAAGGCACACCACAGGCAACACCTAGAAAGTGCCCGCCACCAGAACAGGAGGACTGAAAGCAGCATTCTCCAGTTCTTTAGAGTTGCCTACCTAAGCCCCATGCCAACTGATATGGCTTAGATGACATGGTTCTCCCCACTCACCCCGCCAAAAAGAGAGAGAGAGAATGCAAGAAGAGCACAGCATGAAAATCTCCTTTAAACCAAAGGAAAATATATGGACATTAAAGAGTTAAGAGAGACAATTCTCAGCTGTCCAAACTACTGCGCCACAATTCACAAAGCTATTCCAAAGTGGTGCATAGCAGAAATACCAAGGGCCCACAGAAATATGGCAAGTAGAACCACTGGTGTCTGGTGGCGCCAGTTTGCATGTTGATATACCGCATGAGGTTACACATGAAAGGCCATAGGGCAGGAGGGGGGAATATGATTAAGCAAAGCACCATTCTAATTTCTGTCTGGGACTGTCACCTCAATCAGTCCACGCCCAAATCTCAGCCTCACGCAGTCGGGACACATGTCTTGGGAACCCACTTTAGATATTGCATTATAACCATGAGGGCTCCCCTCGACCCCTATTTAATCTAGGAACAATAAGGCCGCCTTTCTTGTTTTTGCACCCTTCATCTCAAAGAGATTTTACAAAATAAACAGACTATTTACATAATTTTTATTTAACACAGGCAGCTCAGCATTGAGAAGCATTTGCAGAGATAAGGACTAACCCTACAGTAAAGAGATCGCAATCTGAAAAAGACAGACAAGACAGACAGGATATTCTGGGAAAGAGAAGAGCAGAGGTGGAGGTTAAAAAGAAGGGTTTTGCTTTCATAAAAATTAAAAACTCACTCAATGATAGCCATGCATACACAAGAACTGTCACATATAACTGGAGGGTGATTGCCTCTGAGGGAATTTCATGGAAGGGAAGCTAATAGCATTTCTAACTAAAACTACAAAGGAATTTAAGCACCACTAAATGCAGCTACTGTACCATGCAGGCTGACTTTTGCTGTGAAAGTGGTGAATGCTCTGATTTAGATTTATGACCACCCAAGGAGAAGGCTTCAAACGTGCAGTGCTCAAAAGGGATCCCTTCATGTAGATCAAACATCGACTCCAATTCATTACTTCTGGTTGGATATTATTGCTCCAATGCCTCAGTGTGAAAAGGATTTGTTGTTTAGTCGTTTAGTCGTGTCCGACTCTTCGTGACCCCATGGACCAGAGCACGCCAGGCACTTCTGTCCTCCACTGCCTCCCGCAGTTTGATCAAACTCATGCTGGTAGCTTCAAGAACACCATCCAACCATCTCATTCTCTGTCGTCCCCTTCTCCTTGTGCCCTCCATCTTTCCCAACATCAGGGTCTTTTCCAGGGAGTCTTCTCTTCTCATGAGGTGGCCAAAGTATTGGAGCCTCAGCTTCAGGATCTGTCCTTCCAGTGAGCACTCAGGGCTGATTTCCTTAAGAATGGAGAGGTTTGATCTTCTTGCAGTCCATGGGACTCTCAAGAGTCTCCTCCAGCACCATAATTCAAAAGCATCAATTCTTCGGCGATCAGCCTTCTTTATGGTCCAGCTCTCACTTCCATACATCACTACTGGAAAAACCATGGCCTTTACCATACGGACCTTTGTTGGCAAGGTGATGTCTCTGCTTTTTAAGATGTTGTCTAGGTTTGCCATTGCCTTTCTCCCAAGGAGCAGGCGTCTTTTAATTTCGTGACTGCTGTCACCATCTGCAGTGATCATGGAGCCCAAGAAAGTAAAATCTCTCACTGCCTCCATTTCTTCCCCTTCTATTTGCCAGGAGGTGATGGGCCCAGTGGCCATGATCTTCGTTTTTTGATGTTGAGCTTCAGACCATATTTTGCGCTCTGCTCTTTCACCCTCATTAAAAGTTTCTTTAATTCCTCTTCACTTTCTGCCATCAAGGTTGTGTCATCTGCATATCTGAGGTTGTTGATATTTCTTCCAGCAATCTTAATTCCGGCTTGGGATTCATCCAGCCCAGCCTTTCGCATGATGAATTCTGCATATAAGTTAAATAAGCAGGAGACAATATACAGCCTTGCCGTACTCCTTTCCCAATTTTGAACCAATCAGTTGTTCCATATCCAGTTCTAACTGTAGCTTCTTGTCCCACATAGAGATTTCTCAGGAGACAGATGAGGTGATCAGGCACTCCCATTTCTTTAAGAACTTGCCATAGTTTGCTGTGGTCGACACAGTCAAAGGCTTTTGCATAGTCAATGAAGCAGAAGTAGATGTCTTTCTGGAACTCTCTAGCTTTCTCCATAATCCAGCGCATGTTTGCAATTTGGTCTCTGGTTCCTCTGCCTCTTCTAAATCCAGCTTGCACTTCTGGGAGTTCTCGGTCCACATACTGCTTGAGCCTTCCTTGTAGAATTTTAAGCATAACCTTGCTAGCATGTGAAATGAGTGAAATTGTGCGGTAGTTTGAGCATTCTTTGGCACTGCCTTTCTTTGGGATTGGGATGTAGACTGATCTTCTCCAATCCTCTGGCCACTGCTGAGTTTTCCAAACTTGCTGGCATATTGAGTGTAGCACCTTAACAGCATCATCTTTTAAAATTTTAAATAGTTCAGCTGGAATACCATCACTTCCACTGGCCTTGTTATTTGCAGTGCTTTCTAAGGCCCATTTGACTTCACTCTCCAGGATGTCTGGCTCAAGGTCAGCAACCCCACTACCTGGGGTGTACGAGACATCCATATCTTTCTGGTATAATTCCTCTGTGTATTCTTGCCACCTCTTCTTGATGTCTTCTGCTTCAGTTAGGTCTTTACCACTTTTGTCCTTTATTATGGTAATCTTTGTACGAAATGTTCCTTTCATATTTCCGATTTTCTTGAACAGATCTCTGGTTCTTCCCATTCTGTTGTTTTCCTCTATTTCTTTGCATTGCTCGTTTAAGAAGGCCTTCTTGTCTCTCCTTGCTATTCTTTGGAAATCTGCATTCAATTTCCTGTATCTTTCACTATCTCCCTTGCATTTTGCTTGCCTTCTCTCCCCGCTATTTGTAAGGCCTCGTTGGACAGCCACTTTGCTTTCTTGCATTTCTTTTCCATTGGGATGGTTTTAGTTGCTGCCTCCTGTATAATGTTGCGAGCCTCCACCCATAGTTCTTCAGGCACTCTGTCCAGCAAATCTAAATCCTTAAACCTGTTCCTCACTTCCACTGTGTATTCATAAGGGATTTGATTTAGATTGTATCTTACCGGCCCAGTGGTTTTTCCTACTTTCTTCAGTTTAAGCTTGAATTTTGCTATAAGAAGCTGATGATCTGAGCCACAGTCAGCTCCAGGTCTTGTTTTTGCTGACTGTATAGAGCTTCTCCATCTTTGGCTGCAGAGAATATAATCAATCTGATTTCGATGTTGCCCATCTGGTGATGTCCATGTGTAGAGTCGTCTCTTGTGTTGTTGGAAAAGCGTGTTTGTGATGACCAGCTTGTTCTCTTGACAGAACTCTATTAGCCTTTGCCCTGCTTCATTTTGATCTCCAAGGCCAAACTTGCCAGTTGTTCCTTTTATCTCTTGATTCCCTACTTTAGCATTCCAATCCCCTATAATGAGAAGAACATCCTTCTTTGGTGTCACTTCTATAAGGTCTTGTAAGTCTTCATAGAATTGGTCAATTTCAGTTTCTTCAGCACCAGTAGTTGGTGCATAAACTTGGATTACTGTGATGTTAAAAGGTCTGCCTTGGATTCGTATCGAGATCATTCTATCATTTTTGAGACTGCATCCCAGTACAGCTTTCGCCACTCTTTTGTTGACTATGAGGGCCACTCCATTTCTTTTACGGATTTCTTGCCCACAGTAGTAGATATGATAGTCATCCGAACTGAATTCGCCCATTCCCGTCCATTTTAGCTCACTGATGCCCAGGATGTCAATATTTATTCTTGCCATCTCATTTTTGACCACATCCAACTTACCCAGGTTCATGGTTCTTACATTCCAGGTTCCTATGCAATATTTTTCTTTACAGCATTGGACTTTCCTTTCGCTTCCATGCATATCCACAACTGAGCGTCCTTTCGGCTTTGGCCCAGCCGCTTCATCAGCTCTGGATCTACTTGTACTTGTCCTCCGCTCTTCCCCAGTAGCATGTTGGACACCTTCCGACCTGAGGGGCTCATCTTCCAGCGTCATAACTTTTATATGCCTGTTGTCTTTGTCCATGGAGTTTTCTTGGCAGGGATACTGGAGTGGCTTGCCGGTTCCTACTCCAGGTGGATCACGTTTGGTCAAAACTCTCCACTATGACCTGTTCATCTTGGGTGCCCTGCTCGGCATAGTTCATAGCTTCTCTGAGTTCTTCAAGCCCCTTCGCCACGGCAAGGCAGGATGATATTTCCCCAAAGACTGGAGCTGGTTCAACTATACCAGGTTGCTTGTGCTCAAATACAAATACTTCCCCTCTCCAAAAAAATATATTAAAAAATCAGCATAGACTCATGAAGTTTGGTAAGAAGACCCATTTTTTTCCTTATTTAAAAATATGGTGCTCGTTGCTAATGCCTGCTTCCCAAACAATGGTGCTAAACCAGGAAGCAAAGCCGAGGGGAAGAGAGAGAAGTTCGGGCTTCTGCTTTCAGCTCAGTTGGTAGAGCACGGGACTCTTAATGTCAGGGTCATGGGTTTGAGTCCCACACTGCACAAAAGATTCCTGCATTGCAGGGGGCTGGACTAGATGACCCCTGTGGTCCCTTTCCAACTCTCCAGTTCTATGATTCTAAGTATGTCAAAATGAGAGGCAATAATTTTGGCACAACCATTTCTGGTTTTTTGTGACAGTTCCTATGCTTATGTTGAGACACATTACCTAGCCCAGATCTCAGCTGCTGTTAACAGTGGTAAGTTCACCATGGTAGGTAAAAGTGCCTACAACCGTCAAGATATAAGCATGTTGTTGTGACACAAATTATTTCGATGACTTGTTACTAACTGAATCATTTCACAGTCAGTGGCATACATCTAGCTTTCATTATTAAAAAAAACTCAGGTCAGGGTTGAAACAAAAAGGTTCCTGTTCGCTTTCCACTGAACAACTGCATAAAAGCTGCAAATAGATGGAGCTATGAAAATTTTTAATAATCCCAGATGTAATGCAAGCCTTTGACATTGACTCTTAAGTTATGTATTCAGCAATAATGGGGATTCTCTGCCTGTGGCAAGAGGGTCAGAGGTTAACACATTATACCTCAGGCAGCAAGTAGGACAGGAGTTGCACTACCTGATAAGCTATTTTGGATCAGCACGGCTGCCTGTTAAACTAGTTTACAGACCCAATTTACAGGTTTGATGTTAAGAAGTAGAATTTCAACCATTTACAGTACAATTCTATACTTGTATAGTACACTTAGTACACTTAGAAGAAAGTCCCATTTAATTCAGTGAGGATTATTCCCAGGTATAGGATTACACTCTTAAGCACCCTGGTGAACTTTCCAATCAGAACTTTTCTCATCCTCTGAAGGCTTTCAAAATTTATGTTGAAACGGGATGTATCTGAACATTTGCAGGACCAATTCAATAAGGCAAAATCAACTGGCATTCCTAGTGTTTTGATTTACAAAACAGGCCCACTGAGTCGATGTTGACTAATTTAAACAAAGGCTAGGGGGTAAAGCAGGTCTCTCAAAATCACATATGCCAAATACACTCCTAGGATCATGGGGAGGAAAGGAAAAGTTCTGAATAGTTTAACATGCCCGTTTACCATATTTAAAATACAAACGCACACAAGATAAAAGACAGCACTTAAGAGGTTGATATTAATTTTTCAAATCTAATGACTGATATTTAGAAGTTTAGCCCTCAGTAGCTTGCAATGAGATTTAAGTACTAAAATACAACAGCTTTTAGATTTAATTCCCAGATCTTAACATCTGTTACAAGATGAAAGTACTTAGGAAATATCAAAAAGATTTTTCTAATTAAAACTAGTTATAAAGAATCACAATAAAAAGGTAAATAGACATTATTTACCTTTTTATTGTGATTGTTTATAATTCCCCCCACCACTGAACATACCCAGACACAAGATAGAGGATATCAAACAAAATGTAACATGCAACAATAAAACTACAACAAAATCTTAATAAAAACATCAATATCCTTCTTTTTCTTGCTGTGATTAATCAATGTTATTATTAATGGCATGTATTCTTTTTATATTAAATATATGCATCCTTTTTGTATTAAAATATTCAATAAATCCATTTCATCATTAATGGCATGCTGAAATTTAACAATCCACACACTCCATAGTACAAGGTGTTCTTAGATCACTTAGGAAAATGCCCGAGTGATAATAGAATTTTCAAGGTTTAGCACTGTTTTCATATACAAGGCTTATTTCTTTCAAACCACTTAAAGTCATAATGCACTCTTTATTCTAATTATATACTTTTAAGATTTTCAAGCAGTGGTGATCTTTAGGCTCATTTTCCCCACACCTCAAGTCCTTTAAAAACCCCCACCACAATCCCCACCCAATACTCTAGTTGTGAACATCTGTTGTTTACAAGTGCTCAGCCTGAAGGCTGCCAGGCTTGTTCTGCATCCTCTTCAGGACACAGGCAGCCAAAAAGTCGCCTGAACTTCATGCTGGGATGTCCTGGCTGCTCTGATAGTTGGAAGTTGACAATTGCTGCTTAGCATCTCACTTCCGAAGATTATCCTCATTTTCTAAAGCCATTTTATCATCCTGTCTTAAAATAGGCCGCAGTGTTACTTTTGTTTAGCTGCTTGGTAAGATATGGCAGAGAACATGCTTTGTATATAGACTGTTTCAAGGTCCCTGGCAGGTCTAGTTAAAGGAACTCGGGCAAGAAGACTTAGAAAAGTCTCTCACCCAGACCACGCAGAGCTGCTGACAGTATCATCACCACCACCCAAAGAATACCAGGATACCAAACAACAAACTACAAAAATAATTAAAGAAAAAACAAACATCCTCACAACTACTAATTTCAAAGTTGCCAGAAACAATGTCTTTCAACCACCTTGTGCCTTGGTGAACAGGAATGCTTAAAAATTCCACCTAAACATTAACACTGAGGGAGACAGACACACCTCACCAGGAAAAATGTTCCACAAATGGGAGAGTCCCATCAAGAAGGTTCTGTTATGAGTCAGTGTCAACCCGGCAGCCTCCAGAGATGGCACCCCCAACAGGATCTCCCCTGTAGACTGTAAGATCTGAGGTGGTTGATACTGGTGGAGGTGCTCTTTTGGATATTTGGGTGCCAAGCCATTTAGGGCAAATATTAACAGCTTGAGTTGGGCATGGTAGCTCACTAGGAGCCACACACAGTGCTTTCAGGACTGATGACCTGTGGTCCCATTGGGCTAAACCAGGGGTCAGCAACCTTTTTCAGCAAGGGGCCGGTCCACTGTCCCTCAGACCTTGCTGGGGGCCAGACTATATTTTTGGGGGGGGGGGGGGAATGAACAAATTCCTATGCCCCACAAATAACCAAGAGGTGCATTTTAAATAAAAGCACACATTCTACTCATGTAAAAACACCAGACAGGCCCCTAAAATAACCCAGAGATGCATTTTAAATAAAAGGACACATTCTACTCATGTAAAAACACGCTGATTCCCAGACCGTCCCATGGGCCGGATTAAGAAGGTGACTGGGCTGCATCTGGCCCCTGGGCCTTAGGTTGCCTACCCCTGGACTAAACCATTCACCAACCTGTATTAGCTGCAGATTCCAGACAGGAGGACCCCTGAAGCCGGACTTTCCCAGTCCAGGAATGGCTATGGCTAGTGGACCAGCCTGAGCTGGGCATAATTACTCCTAGCCACAGAGGCCACTTGGACAGATATGAGTCAATGAGTCCTCCCAGGCGATGAACTTTTTCCTTCAGGGGGAGTGCAGCCACTCCCAAAACATTATCTACCCAATTCCCTGATATGAGAGCTGACTACCCATGAGCACCTCCATCTTTTCAGGGTTCAGTTTTGCTTTCTTGGCCCCAATCCAGCCCATTACTGCTTCCAGGCACCAGTCCAACACCTCCACAGTCTCTCCTGATTCAGATTGAATGCACATATAGAGCTGCATATCATCAGTATACTGGTGACACCATGCTGCTCCTTGAAAACAAATGCAATTAAGCATTTTGGAGGTTGAGCAGGCCATAGGTGTAATTTTGCAAGACAATGTATAGCTATAGCGAAGGTAATTTGACAGTATAAATAATAGAACAAATCAGAGCTACAAATGTCAGGAAAAAGTTGCTTCACTGTAGGACATTCAGTTCTCTAACCTTCATATAGGTAGTTCATTATAATTTATTATTATTATTATTATTATTATTATTTAGGATGCAGCTGCGCGGAAAGCCAGAAGTGGGCCTCATCCCTGAAATCTATGTTGAACTCTCCCTTTAGCACATGCAAGCTCCTGACTCAACTACACTCAACTACAGGCAGGAGGGTGTAATAGACTTGCCAATAAGAGCATTGTTAGCATTGGATCCTTCCATGCCACATAGCTCCTGCTTCAGCAATAAGAGAAAACAGTGGCAGCAGAAGCTTCCCCTGCAGGTAAATCCATTGTTCTGCATCCATTGCAGAGAGTTTGGGACTTGGAGCCAGATTTCAAACCATCTGCTACCCTGAAATAGTTCTGCTAAAGAATAAAATCTCTTGGGGCTTCCAAAGTGTTTGATTCAAAGCTTCAGTTTGAGGCTTCGGTGTCCGTTTTCCTGCATGTTTAGCAGCACCATGACAAATTCAATATTCTTCTCCCTTCACGTCAATGACCAGAAAAAGTAGCTTATTTATATATAATGGCTACAAGTGCCTGAGCTCTTCTAATGTCATGTTGGACCCGTGTGGTAGACACAGAATAAACAATGCTTCTCTGACTTCCATTCCTATAGCAGCTTATGGAATGGGAGAAACTTATGTTTCTGGAGCCACTTTGGGTAAAGTAAACCTGTTACAAAGGGGCTGACAGGTTCCCCACCTTCCTTTCAAGGTAGGACAAACTTGGAGGTGACCTTTGTGTTATTTACTCACACATACACTCCACACTATGGCCTGAACATGTGTGAAATCGGAAGACACGGATCCAAGTCAGCTCCCTTTTAGTAACCACATGGCATTAGAAACCCCAACTGTGATTGAGAGTCAATTTGAGACTGTGAATAAGTAAAGCTGTTTAATCTACACCACATTTCGAATTCAGGATGTGTGATTAAAGGATTCAAGATAAAGAAGTAAGAGATATCAGAAACTGCAAAAAAGAAAATGAAGCAGTAATTTTTCTTACTAATCCGTCCTCTAATATAGTCCCTACATTATTAGTTTTATGGCTTACATAAAGCTGCAGCAGCATCCTTCTTACATGCAATTGGATGCACAGGACCTGCTGAGGCAAGGGAGACAAACAACCCCATTTTAAAGTTGTGTTTCAAGGGGACAATGGCAGTTGCTGAAGTGAGTGGGGAAAGGGGAAATGGAAGTGTGGGGGACCAGCATGTTGTCTGAATCCCAAGGGCCTTAAATCCTGTCATTCATTGGAAACAGGAAAGGAGAGAGGTAAATTGGGGATATTGCCCTTTTGGTCCCCTGTCAAATGGGCTTATTAACAGGTGAAGAACATCCTTGCGAGTGTTCCTATACGGCACAATGCCTA